ACGCACTACTAGTTACTCGCTACTCACTACTCACTTCTTACTACTCACTGCTCACTACTCACGACCCACTACCCACTATCCACTTCTGACTACCCACTACCCACTACTCACTACTCACTACTCACTACTCACTACTCCCGACTCGCTACTCACTACTCACTACTCACTATTCACTACCCACTACTCAACACTCACTATTCATTAAACACTACTCACTACCCACTACTCACTACTCATTGATCACGACTCACTACCAACTAACAACTATCCAGTACCCACTACTGAGCACTCACAATTCCTCACTGCCCATAACTCACTACTCACAATCCGCTGCTTGCTACTCTCTACCCACTACTCCCTACACAGCACTCACTGCTCACTGCTCGTACCCACTACTCGCTACTCCCTACTCGCTACTCGTTACCCGATACGCAATATTCACAACCCACTACGCACTACTCACTACTCCCTCGTCCCTACTCCCTACTCCATACTCCCTACTCGCTAGTCACAAGTCACGACTCGCTACTCGCTACTCAGCACCCACTACTCACTACTCACAAAACACCACTCAGCACTCACTACTCTCTACGCGCTACTCCCTTCGCGCTACCCACTACTCACTACCCACTTCTCACTTCTCACTACTCACTACTCACTACTCACTACTCCCTTCTCACTACTCACTACTCACTACTCACTACTCACTACTCACAACTCCCTACTCGCCTACTCACCACTCCCTACTCACTACTCACTACTTACTACTCCCTCCTCACTACTCACTACTCACACAGCACTACTCGCTACTGACTACTCTCTACTCTCTACTCCCTGCTCGCTACTCACTACTCACTACCCACTCCCCACTACCCAGACTCACTGCGCACTACTCACTACTCACTACTCACTACTCACTACTCACTCCTCGCTGCTCGCTACTGTCTACTCACTATACACTACTCACTACTCACTACTCACTACTCACCACGCACTACTCGCTACTCCTTACTCACTACTCACTACTCACCATGCCCTACCCACTACTTACTACTCACTACTCACTACTTACCACCCACTACTCAATACCCCCTACTCACTGCTCACTACTCTCACTACTTACTACCCACTACTCACTACCCGCTACCCACTACTCACAAATCCCTACGCGCTACTCACAACTCACTACCCACTACCCACTACCCAGCACCCACACTCACTACTCACGACTCACTGCGCACTACTCACTACCAAATACCCACTACTCACTGCTCACTACTCAAAACACTCTACTCTTTACTCACTACCGCCTATCCAGTACCCACTATTCACTACTCACTTCTCACTAGTCTCTACTCTCCTCCCTACTCACTACTCTCTACTCGCAGCTCACTACCACTACTCAAAACTCGCTGCTCACTCCACACCTACTACCCGCTACTCACTACCCACGACCCACTACTCACTACTCAGCACTCACTAACCAATATCCACTACCCACTACTCACTACACACTACCCACAAGTCGTTACTCGCTGCTATCTATTCCCGACGCCCTACACACACCTCACTACTCGCTACCCCCTGCTCGCCACTCGACACTTCACTACTCGCTAATCACTGCTCACTACTCGATGCTCCCTTCTCGCCACTCACTACTCAAAAACTGCCCCCTACCCGCTACCCACTAACTACTCCCTACTCACGACTCACTACCCAACACTCACTACTACGACGGCGTCGACGGCGTCGCTGGCAGCACAGCAGAACCAGCGGACGGCGATGGCGGGGCCCCGTCGCGCGGCGTCGCTGGCGCCGGCCAGGCCCGCGGCCGCCGCGCCGCCGTCTGCGCCGCCGCGGGAGGGTTGCAGAGGCAGGTTGCGAAATGCCCGGCAAGGGCGGCGCGGCCCGCGCGAGGCCTTCGCTTCCCCGGTCACGGGTTTCGAGCACCCGGACGCGCATTGCGCGCGCGGGGCCCCGCTCCCCCGCGGGGCCCGTCGCCGCTCGCCGGGGCCGGGGTCGACGGAACCGCGGCGGCCAGCGCCAGGAGAGCCGCGCGGGCAGACGTCGTTGGCGGAGCCACCGCGGTGGCGAGAACAGCGCTGAGCCCACGGCGCGCTCCGGGGAAAAGGCGGGCGCCGGAGACCACCGGGCGCGCCGCGACGACTACCGCGAGCCCGCCGACAAAGCCGCCGCCGCGAACGACCAAGTGACAGAGAGCCGCCGCTGGGGCCGGGCGGAGCAGGGCGCCGGCTCGGCTGCGCAGCGCGGCCATGGCGCCGAGGGCCACGGGCAGGGCAAGCGAGCGGGCGAGCGCGGCGCCGCGCCTGGAGCAGAAGGACCAGGCGGGAAGCCGCCGCCGGCTCCTGCGAGGCGGCCAGCTTGCGGGGCGCGGAGAGCGGCCCAGGAGCGAAGTGCTCGACCAAGGGAAAGCCACCGCCGGACCCCGCGGGGAGGCCGACCGGCGAGGCGAGGGGAGGCGCCCCAGGAGTGACTCGACCGGGCGCGGGAAACCGCCGGCCCCTGCGGGGAGGCCGACCGGCGGGGCGAGGGGGGGCGGCGCAGGAGCGACACGCTCGACAGGGCAAGGGCCACTGCCGACTGCAACGAAAATGGCGACCGGCGAGGCGAGGGGGGGCGCCCCAGGAGCGACTCGACCGGGCGCGGGACGCCGCCGGCCCCAGCGGGGCGGCCGACCAGCTGAGCGAGGGAGGGCCGACCCAGGAGCGAATAAGTGCTCGACCGAGCCAAAGCCGCCGCCGGCCCCCGCGGGGAAGCCGACCGGCGGGGCGAGGGGGGGCGGCCCAGGAGCAAGGTGCTCGACCGGGCAAAGACCGCCGCCGGCCCCTGCAAAAAGGCCGGCCGGCGGGGCCCAAGGCGGAGACCCAGCAATGAGCTCGATGGGGGCAGGGCCAGCGCCGGGCCCCGCGAACAGGCCGCCCAGCAAGGGCCCGGCAGCAGCGGCGAGAGAAATATAACGAAGAAGCCGCCCCATCGTGAACCCGCCCCCGCGGACAGAAAGCCGAGCACCACGAAAGGCTCGAGTCAAGACGATGACTGTGAGAAATACGAACCGCACTTCATCGAAGCGCCGTCGAACACATGGGCCCCCGCCAACGCCGATCAATTGAAAGACCTTCGAAGGGCCGCCATCCCCTTTTCCACGTTCGCCCGCCGAGGGGGCCAAAGGCGTGCTGAACGCGTCTGGCGACCGCGGCGGCCCCTGCGAACTGCTCGAAGCAAAACCGGAGGATTGGGGCGGCGGAAAGAGCGGAGCGAGATAAGGTGAAGAATTTGGCGTCGAGCTCACTTCATCCCGACCCCGTGTCCGGCGCACGCGGTGTCATGATGCGCTGACACCGCGTCTGCGAGTGAGGTGGACACCGAGTCCTCCCCGCCCTCCTCTTTTGCATCATCGCCGCCGTCGTCGTCGTGGTCGCCATGGCCGCCATCGCCGTCATCGTGATATGTTTAGTATTGTGATCCGCCGCCGTCCGTCGCCGTCGCCGTCGCCGTCGTCTTTGTCTTTGTATTTGTCGTCGTCTGCGTCGTCGTCGCTGCCATCATCACCACCATAATCATCAACATTATCGACCTCGACCTCGACCTCATCATCATCAGCATCGTCGTCATCGTCATCATCATCCTCCTTCCTCCTCCTCCGCCCCCCCCCCCCCCCCCATCGCCACCAGCAGCAACGTCGATGTCAGCGTCAGCGAAGCGTCCGCAGCATCGCCAACGCGATCGTCGTCGTCGCCCCCGCCCCCCCGCCCCCCCCCCCTCTCTCGAAAGCTTCGCGAGGTCAGTCCGGGAAAGAATCGAAATATCCAGAAACCTGAAAATCGAAAGATCCCGAAGCCAGACCCCGCCCGCCCCCCCCTGCGGCAGATGCCCCCCCCCCCAGCCCCCGTTCGGCGCAAAGGGGGGGAAGTGCTGGGGTTCGACCCCCCCTCCCAGGGCCCGGAACGCCGCCCCCCCCTTCAAGGGGGGGGTCGGACCCGCCACCTTGAGGGGGGACGGGGGGGTCGGTTTCGACGACAACCCCCCCCCCCCCCCAACTAATTACAGCGCGATCCAGCATCGCCCTTTCGAAATCCAAGTCAGCCCCCCCAGAGGATATATTATATAATATATATATATATATATATATATATATATAGAGCGGAGGAGAAGGGGGGGGCCCTGGCGAGCAGGCAAGGGCAGCGAACATACTGGACATAGAGAAACTGCAGGAGAGGGCGACAAGGCGAGAGACAGCAGGGGCAAGGGGGGGGGGGAGACAAGGAAAATGGCGAGGGAAAGCGGAAGGAAGAAACAAGAGGGGGGGCCGCAGTTCGAAAGGAGAGAGGGGGGGGGGCACAGACCTGCCCCGCCCCCCCCCCCTCGCGGCCCCCACGGGCGCGGGGGCCCGAGGGGGGGGGCAGTCGCGCGAAAACCAGCCCCGCCAGGTCAGCGAGCGCCACCCCGAGAACCGCCGCCGCGGACCCGAGAGGGCAATCGCGCCGCTGAAGCACGCGCGGACGCAGTCCAACAACACATGGGAAAACGCCGCGCAAGCGCGCCCAGCACCCTTCGCGGCGGGCTTCGGGGCGACGCGCCCGCGAGCGCGCCCCCGGCGACCAATTGCCTGACCTCGACGAGCGGCGCCAGCCCACGCCATGGAGCACAATGCGCCCGCGGCAGCCGTTCGCGGAGCCGACGCGGTGGACCTGAGAAGGCAATTGCACCGCAGAGTTGCGCGACGACGCAATCTAAAATGTTCTCGTTTCCAAAAATGCCGCGCTGACCAAATAAATTCCTCGCTCGCGGCTGCTGTTTTCCTCCCCGCGCGCCCGCGCGCGCCCCTGGGAAGCAGATGCCCGACCTTCGACAGAAGGCGCGCGCGTGCAGCGCGCCGACGCTTTTCAGGGGACCACTGAGGCGCGCCTCATAGCTAGGAGGCCTTCCACGCAGCATCGCATGGACAACCGCCCGGGGACCAAATTGAACCTAGAACAGACCCGCGCAGCATGTCCACCTCGCGGGGCCCGCTGCCAATCCAAGGCCCGCAGGCGCATTTCCACGCGATATTACGCGCCAGGCCACCGACCTCACTGCGGATCTCACTGGAGCGGTGGAGCTGCAAATAGGTCGCAGCTGGTTCTGCCTCGCACCTGGAAGCGTTCTCGGAGAGATCCCTAGACAGGGCGCCCCGCGCCGCTCGCCCCCCAACGCTCCCGAAGGGTACGTCGAGGACCTCGCGGCTGAAGCCGCCGATCTGGCCATGGCCCCAGCAGCCTGGAACCGCCGTCTCGCGCGACTGCGCGCCTCGAGAAAATGTTGAATGACAGCTGCCCGCGCGCAGAGCTTCATGAACTAACTTCGGAGTCTGGCTCTGCTCGCAGTGGTGATTCTCCATTTTCGGGCGGCGGGCTCCGCTGCCAGTTCTCAACTGTTGCACTTCAATATTCTGACCTTCACCGTCCTCCTTCGCCGCAAACGCCCTGTCGCACCGCGCCTTCGCGCCAAGACTCTCGACCAGGACGGGGCAGTGGCGCTCGAGGTAGTCCTCGTGCAGCTGCTGAACGCGGTGGCACAAGATCACCCCCACGTCGCCCCCGTTGCCGATCGCGGCATCCTGGCTCCACTTCAGCTTGTGCGACTGGGCGGACACCGGAACCGCGGCGCCTCCGCCGGGTTCCTCCGGAGGCGAATGGGGCCCCAGACCGCGGGCGAGTCAAACGGGAAAAGAAGGAAGGATGGACGCGGGAGAGAATAGGGAGGTAGAAGAAGAGGAGGGGGGAGCATCGTAAAGAAGAGGAGGCGGAGCGTCTTGGGAATGGAACCAGGGAGGAGGGAGAAGAAACGCGAAGCGATAGCACCTCGGCGCCGAGGGCGAATAGTCGGAGAGGAAGCACGCAGCAAAGCAGTAGCGCGAAAGCCGCGCGCTGTGCTCAGTTTGCGGCAGTATGACGTCAGTGTACCGTGGCACAACGCATTGTCTATAGAATGTTAGTATATCGGGCTGTCATGCAGTGCCCACACCCTGGTCTTCCTCGTATT